AGACTATTGAGTTTGAAAAGGTTGTTATTGACGAATCTTTCAAAAATATGTAAGGAGGTGTGCTCTTCCAATTTATGTCAGCTGAAGAAATTATTGTTTAAACCGCTAGGCTGCAGCTGGTACAAAACGAAAGATCACATTTTGCTGGGATTTTGGGCTCGTTTTCTTAGCCATTCTTGATTTTCTTCACCATCTAAGCTTCTTTTTGTCTCAACTTCCTCAAATTTAGATATGTTCGAACTTTGGTTTCTAACGAGAATTTTGAAAATAATTATTTTCAAATTTTGATTTTAAATTATAAAAACCCAACTTTTTTAAAAATGAAAAATAATTATTTTCTAGCGTGAGAAAAGTCATATCGGTCTTATATGTGCCATTTTCATACGTGGTTGACCCAGAATCAAGCACCAAGACCTTGGGAACTTAAAGCGTTAAAGCCGTTAGTGTTTTGTAACGGATTATTGCCTAAAGTCGATACCTCTCATTGCGTAAAATATTCAGTGTATGTGTGAACTATTAGAAGCTTCAACAAAGCTTCTAGTTTTATTGCAATGATTTTTTGGAAAAGAGACACAAAGGGAGACTATTATGCGACTAAGACCAATAATGAAAGATGAAAAATTGATATAACAGTGTTACAGGCGTGAAAAATCTTTTAGCGAATTTCCTGGAAACTCATCACACTTCTTTCAACATCTTAACATCACTATGTTTTACATCAAACAAAGCTGGCTAGAATACTAACTTTCTACTAAAACTATAGTATAAACGCACGCATATAGTCCAAAAGTAAATATTTTCACGAAAAGATGGTGAGCTTGGCCTTGCGGCGACGTATATATATAGGTCGTCTAAACTAGTCGTCAAAAGTTTAGTCCCTTTTCTCTTTTTCCTACATGATTCTATTCAAATGACGTTGGATAGATTTGAAAGTTGTGTGGTTTCACAGAAACTTTCTTTAACGTAACTACTTTTATCTTTTCTTTTCATTTAACAATTTTAATTTCAAGATCTCAGAGTCAAAACAATGAGGTGTTTACGGTCCAAGTAGCGATAAAAACGGTGGCTACATGCCATTTGGAAGAGTCTAAAGCGTGAATAAAACTGTCGTGTCAATAATTTTGATAAAATTCAAAACTTGTTGCAAAATTCAAGAACCAATGCCATTTTTATAATTATAAATTTTATAGTTTTTAAAACTAAATAAAAGGGTACTAAATTTCATTTGATCAAAATTATTGACACGGCAGTTCTGTGATCTTTTTAGCCTCTTCTGAATGGCATGCGTAAATAGTGTTTATTGCTACTTCGACCGTAAACACTTAATTGTATCGACTCTGGAATCTTAAAGGAAAATTTAAATATTTGACGTAATACAATTGCAGCTTTCTTCTAAGTAGGTTATTTACATTTAGATAGATTTAAGTGCTATTTTGAAAAAGATCCGCGGCAATTCTTTTTCTAGATGAATCATGTACATCTTCTTTTCTTTCCTTTGGGTGCTCTGGACGAATCTTTCTTGAAGTAGTTCAAAAAGAAGCGCTTGAACGAAGATGTAGCTTTAAATACATGACAAAATTTTATATATTCGAGGATATTAGAAAGATCTAGACTTGGCGAAGACTAGATACGAGATGATACAAAATAAATTTAACAAAAGCAGAATCTACCTTGTTTTGAAGATCTTCGATATACTTGTCAGTGTTCATTTTCACAAACAACTATGTTAAACTCAACAAGAAATGTTGTCCTTAACTATATATATGTATAGAAGAGAGAGATACGTTGCATTCTTTTTTCTATTTTCTCTCTATATCAGTCAGATACATACATTTGGCACATGTTGTAAGACAGATTGAATACAAAACTGTGTTTAATAAAAAACAAAGACATTAGAGCCGTAGCAAATAAGCAATAGACTACATTCACATCGTACGTCTTTGTTTCTTTCTCTCCTCTGCTTTACAAAGAAAAAAAATAACAAATTTCTGGAATTAAATTCATATTATAGAACTGTTTAAAATTCACAGGCTACGTCGGCTGAATTTTTCGCTCAGAGACAAGAGAAGAATATAATATAATATTATGTTCTTTCTTTCCAAACACAGTTTTGTATTCAATCTTTCTTACAATCATATCAATGTATATTTTTGACCAGTATAGAGAGAAAATAGCTATATATATTTATATATAGTTGAGGACAATATAGTTTAACGTAGTTGTAAATCAAAGATCTTCAAAATGAAAATCAAGAATGACTAAGAAAACGAGCCCAAAATCCCAGCAAAATGTGACCTTTCGTTTTGTACCAGCTGCAGCCTAGCGGCTTAAACAATAATTTCTTCAGCTGACAAAAATTGGAAGAGCACACCTCCTTACATATTTTTGAAAGATTCGTCAATAACAACCTTTTCAAACTCAATAGTCTTCGTTGTAAAATTCAGATATCTTGGCTAGCATAAAACATAAACAAAATTTCTTTTTGCCATTTAATTCTCTACAACCGACATAAGATTAATTTTCTTAAATAATGCTTCTTTAGTTTGTTATAATGATACTGCCGATGCCCATTTAAATGACATTGGATTGAGCTTTAAAGGGTTAAGAGTACCCAGGTCCACTATCCCGATCGCGATCGCTATAAACTCACACTTGTCGGATCACGATTGCTATGAATTCTTACATTCGCGTCCCCATCATGTGAAAGTCTTACTCACCGAAAACAGAAGTTTAGTAGTCGCGTCATGACCGCTAAATCTTCGCTGTGTCGTGTCGCGATTGCTAAAAACTCGCGCAATCGCATCGCTAGTTGATATTTTTGAATGAATCGTGACTTTTACTGCTATTGGTGAAACCATTCTCAAAAGCGTATTTTTCATAAAGCTCGATTTTTACGATGTTTCTTGCTGTTTTCTTGAAGAACAAACATCATCATTAGGCTCAGCGCGGTCGATTACGTGAGTTTCATGCAATTTTCAGCTTAGTCTTGGTCATCGACCGAGGTCCTGAGGCACTAATATAGTCCTCCAAAAATCATCCTCTCATCTCGCTTGAGTCCCAGTTTAAAAAGAACACCTTGCACAAAAAAAACCGACAGATTCGTATTTTAATTTCATAAGTTATGGCCTTTTCAGATTTTCAAAGATCTAGAAAAATTTCTTGAAAGACTGATTTAGGAAATTATTTTGCTTGTAGAAAGATGTTCTTAGATCTCGTCTTTCTAATGGCGAAAACTGCATTCCTTTATTCCTTTCCGTTCCAAAGCTGTTCGAAAAATGAGTGAGTTCATTGCGTTTTGAAACGGAGAGCAGTTCAGTTTTGGAGAATTTCTGAGAAACTGATGAAGAAACCTGATTCTATTCAATAAGGATGATAGATAGACGATGTCGGATTTAAAATCATTAAGTCAATGGAAGGAAGTGGAGATCGGGAAAAAACTTGAACAATACTACCATGATGAAAATAGAAATCCAAACATCCCATATCAAGAAACAGAAGAATTTGCAAAATTAACAGAAGCTCCTCGTAAATCAATATTATCATGACAAAGATTTGAAAGAAAATCAATCATTAGCAGAAAATATGTTATTTAAAAGACGTTTTATCACATACAATAATCATGATTGTCTTCCAGTCGGTGTTTCATTAACAAACGATGATTCAACATTATTGTCATGTGATGTGCATGTCAGTTCAAATTGTGTACGATTGTACAATGTTCAAAATGGTCAGTTGACACATAGGATATCAAGTACACATGTAAGTGTTTGTGAACGAGAATCAAAAAGTTTATTAGTCTAGAGGAAAGTTTTTTTTGTCGCTCAATGAATATTTTTTCATTTAGGAAACGCAATTGGATCATCCAAGTGCTGCTATGATGAATTTACGTGATCAGATTGTTATAAAAGAACATAATCATATCTATGTTGTTGATTCTGATTGTGAAACACTTATAAAAACGATCTATGATCGAAGTTCGATGAAAAATTTATATGGTATGTAGCATAGAAAATGTATGAAAAGATTCTGGTTTTTTCTTTTGTCTTAGGTGTTTGTTTATATGAAAATAAATATTTGTTAACAATTGATCAACAACGTGCAGAAAATGGTCGCGTTTTGATGATCGATCAAGATACACCACAAGTTGTTCATTCATTTGATTTATCACCAATTATTTTAGAAGATGAAAATTTAATTCGACAAAAATATAATCGTGAAATTTTAAATGGACGAATATTACCACCACAAACGAGCAAATTAAGATTTTTTGCCGTTAAAAATGAAAGAATTTACATTAGTGATTTAGGTACAATAAATTCTACTATTTTTCTTGTCACATCTGTTCTTTAAATATACAATCCAATAATCCAACTAAATTATCTCCAAAAACATCGTGAAACGAACAGGAACTTTTCACTTACATTACTTTTGTTGCAACATGACAACAGCATTTTTTAGCACTAAACGTTGCCTCATTTCTTCTATTATCAGAATGATTTGTTAACTAAATCGAATTTTGTTGTTTATGTTTAGGTCGAAGTTTAATTTATGTAACAAATATTCATGGTCAAATGCTAGATCACCAGTTTACGTTCGGTGGTACCGGTAATCAACCAGGTGAATGTTATGATCCAGCCGGATTGGTTATTGATGCGGGTGGAAATATCATTAATGCAGATAGTAAAAATGATCGAATTCAAGTATGTAGCTAAAGAAATATTACTAAAATTCCCATTTTTATCATTAGGTTTAACCTTTTACTAAATCAAATTGTTTTCCGTTTAGATTTATTCTCCAAATGGTGAATACAACACCAAACTTCAATTAAGTGAAGCGATACTTTGTCCATCTGATATTTGTGTTGATCGTTCTGGTACTCAAATATTCATATCTTGTTATCGACAAGGTTGTGTCAAAGGATTCGATATTAAGATATTTTTGGCTCTCATTCATTCATTATACTACCACAAGTCGCGACTGCTTATTATTATGAGATTATTTTCTTTTTTATTTGATACTCATATATGCGTGTATTTGTCTATTTATTTATTTTCTTTTTCTTCTTTCGTAAAAATTATGGCTAAAATTACTCAATAAAATAAGTTAAAATAAATGGCATAATATGAACGCGAACTTTTCTGGTTTTTTTCACTAGTAGTACCTTTTCTCTATTCCCAAAGATAAATTCAGGTTGAAT